TGAGTCGCGCTGCGCGTGACGCGGCTGTGACGCGACTGTCATGACAGCCGCGTCACGTCACTACTGCTAGAGTAGCGGTCGCTTTCTCATACTACCTCCCAAATCCCAATTCAAACGAACTTTGCAGACGGATAGACGAACCTACGTACAAGTACACCGACAAACCAACACAAAGTTAGGGGCGGTAAGCATAAGCGAGGTCTTTAAGTTTCGAGAAAGCCGATCAAAAGCTGTCTGGAAGTGAGGAATGCCATGTCTTTCTGCTTTTGCTCATTAGATGAGCCGCAATAGAACGCGCAGACTCTGGGGCTCAATCGTCTTTCATGTAGTAAATTTAATCGTGTCCTGATTAATTTTAGTACATGAAAAGTGCGATTGTAGCCTGCAGCAACTGAAGCGCAGTTGTACGGTAATGGCATAAAGAACCAGTTCGCAGACAATCTTAGCATCTATACCGGTTCTTACGCAAGAAAACTCGTTCTAATTTGCTTTTCTAATCAGAATGGCGTTGTTCTCATAAGGCCCTTTCCTCGACAGTGCGGGACCGCTGTGAGCGACAATTTCTCAGGGCAGGGGCGATTTCAGTGCAAAGAAGTAGCCTGTGAGGAGAAAATCAAGAGGATCTCTTTTTCAGCTCCAATTGTCTTCTGACTAGTACGTAGTGAGCCCGAGAACTGCAAACTCTTCGCTCTCGAGCGCTCTGAGCAAAGTGTCCGAAAAAGGAGCATTTTCGGACCACGCTTATTGCTTTCCCCGTCACTAATATTGACTATATTCTTATAATATTTTCCTCTTTTCTCGGGGCGCCTTGACGACCCGAGAAAAGAGGAAAATCATCAGCCAAAGTTCCCGAACTCGAAAAAGTGGGAAAAGTGAAGGTATCTCCTAGCACTTAGATAGCACACTGAGCGTTGGTTGTTTGTTTCAGTAATACGGAGTACCCACCATTCGCTTATTGGTGCACTCCTCATCTTTGACATTTCTCCATGAGAGACTAGTCTAGGTGGTTCCTTTTATTGGATCAGCCATGGGAGCTGTAGGCATCACTAATGAAAATTCAGACTTTTGAAGCTGAAGTTCCACTAATGGTTAGCATGAGAGTTGCCGTACTAATAAACGGTCGTTTTGCACTTGTACTGTATTTTCTCGGCAGTGTTCGGCCTTGCCGGGAGGGGGGGGGGTGGCGGAAGGCGGAGCATTTCTCACTTTTGCTGGCTCCTTTTCCTGGTTAATGGCAACTCAAGTCCCGTTTTCAAGATTTGTGGAGTCTTGTGAAGCTGCGGAATGGTAGAAGTGAGCCGTTTTGTTCGCAGAAATCAACAGGCCTTCACAAGGTGACCTGTATAAGCTCCGCTAGATACCACTGGTGCCCCCACCATGCCGAACTGCGCCATCTTTCCAATCTTTTGCATCTTCTGTACGTCTCGAGTGCCGAAGTAGAATGGAGCCAGGCACCGCGTCACACCATAGGTCGGCCTCGCAACTTTTGACATATACTAAGGTATAGAATAGGTAGGGTAGTAGTGGAAGCAACACACTTCAGACGTGAGCAGCAGATGACCCCACATGTCTCTTGGGAGAAGTGATAGTCAACTGCCAACGCTTTTGCGTTGCGTTGAATGGAAAGAGGAATCGCGATGAAACCGAAGATAACTGTTCGACATCAACTTTTTCTCTTTTTGAAATTCTCGCATTTACGGGATTTGTCTGACTTCAATTGATGTGCTTGTCGATTGTGATTGTCCAGTTATTAGGCGCAGATATACTGCGTCCACAAATAAATGAATGAATAAATAAACTTTTTTCCTTCTGTAATGGTGTTCTTGCCTTTTTCCTTCAGTATTTCGCAGGTCCAAACCTTTGGCAACAAAGTACAGAACAAATGCGCTCGCGAACTATGCAGCACATTTACTGCAAGCAGGTTGTACCTTACCTCAACGTTGTTTTGCCGTTCCGGTCGTGTGACCGCAACTGCCACCCTTCCGCAGTCTTTATAAGAGCAGGCCACAACTGCGTCAGGACTCGATTTCCTTTTTACGTAGAATAAGAGACACCTTCTCTACTTTCGCTCCGTTATATCAACGCTACTTTCAGATGGAGAAATTTCTCGCCAACGTAACGGCCGGTGCAGGGCTGGTTGTGGTTGCGGTCTGTCTTCCTTTATATTCCGTACCTGTACAATGCTACTGATAAGATCACGAACGACCTTGCCGTGCGGATGGACCAATTTCGGGTAGGTTCAATCCCGACTGGGACATAAACGTAAAAATTTTGCACAGCTGAGCGTAAGGCTTACTTTAGAGCTTTGATCAGAAATTTTGAACGTTAACTGTCTGTGAAAACCTTTGATTGGCTGACCAAAACGCATTACAAATTGATGAACCCCAAGCAAAACTCCAAGGGGTATTGTAGAACGGTGTAAATGCAAGATTTGGCTCCATGCGAACTCCCCTTCTAATTAGCTGGCAACTTTGGAAGCGAGCTGATAACAAAAGTTGCTTGTTCCTAATTAAAGACTTAAAAACTTCTAGGCGAAGCCAGATGGAAGTCTCCGAGAGCCTTAGAAGGTCCGGCAGCGGATTCACCACAATCCGTCGAGAAAGACAGGCGCAAGGTGTTTGCCAGTGCAGTGGAGTGAACCAATGCCCACCAGGTGCACCAGGTGGCCCCGGAGCCCCGGGAGTTCCGGGAGAGCCCGGAAGGCGCGGCAGCAAAGGTCCACCAGGTTAGCCATGATCTTATACAACTTTTCTGCCTGTGATAGAGTTGTAGTTAAATAAGTAAACTTTAGGCGCTCCCTGGAATCGTTCCACCACTTCCGATCACTGAAGATACATCTAAATGCAAAGTTTGTCCTCCTGGACCAGTCGGACCTCCCGGATCACCTGGACCAGCAGGACCACCTGGTGGAAGAGGAGTACCAGGACAACCAGGAATGGATGGTCCACCAGGAGATGCAGGTGCTCCCGGTAAGTTTTACTTTTTTCAGTTGAAATTCCAGCCACGTGCTAGTGAACTTCAAATTGGAGCAAATGAACGGAAGAAGCGGAAAAAGACAAGCGTTCCATCATTCACTTTTGGATCCTGGCTAGACTGCATTCTAAGCAGGGCATGTGCTCGCAATGGGGAGAATTTCCCGGATTACGACTCCCTCCCCAACATTCTCGTCCAGTAGGACCATGTATCACGGTGTCCACTTTCTTACTAACCAAACTTTGCCAAAAATCTGCCGCCAATTGAGGATGGGTGGGGTGAGATGAGGAAAATACACCCTTCAATCAACTACCAGAAATATCAGTTTTGTTGCAACGCTTTTTTGTTTAGGGAAGTGTATTGCGCCTCAGAAGGGGGAAAATCAACAATGAAAACTCTTACCTGACCAAATACGACCCCTCCGCTCCTGCTACCAAGTACAATCCCCATTTGGACATTCTCTAGGGTACAGCAGGCCCTGTTTCTGAGGCATCTACAAATCTTATTTTCGAGAGAATTCGTAACGCAGCTTCAAGCTGGTACTTTGAGTATTCATTCCACAGTTTAAACCATAATCTGCAAATATTCAGGTAATCCGGGTGCTCCTGGAGCTCCCGGTCTTCCCGGACCAGCAGGTGTACCTGGTGAACCCGGAAGAGACGGAGAACAAGGTGGAGTGGGACCACCAGGACCACCTGGTCAAGCTGGACCACCTGGAGCCCGTGGAGCTAATGGAGAACCAGGACAGGCAGGAGTACCAGGAGAGCCTGGTGTACCCGGTGAAAGTGGTGCGCCTGGCGAGAATGGCGCGGGAGGTCCACCTGGAACTCCTGGACGTCCTGGACAACCCGGATCGCCAGGACCTGACTCTCTCTACTGTCCTTGTCCAAGACGTGGCAAGGCTAAGCTGTCAAAGAAGAAGAAGGTCAAAGCTTAAGACTTGGGTTATGTGTAAAATAAACCTTTTTCGGAGCTTTTGTTCTTCATCAGAGGTTCCATGATCATGCTTGGATTAGATGAACATGCTTGACGATTGAAACCCGCTTTATAATGTACAACAGCAACACTACAATAGAATTTTGCAATTTTTCTCGTGGTAAGTTGAAGGAGCGCGCACTGGTCGCTTCCTCTCCTTTTTGGCCTCTTCCTTTCCTGATCCGCGGTACGTCCAACATCCGGTACCGTTATGATTCCTCAGCAATCAGTGTGACATGTCTCCTACACTGTCGAGAGCGATGTGAACAGAAAGCGTTGATGTGGCCTACTGTAGATATGCTTCCGCACATCATTATTCAGCACTGCATAGAGTACCCAATTACCTAAAATGAAACTCTGTAATGATTGTCAAAGGATTCAACCTTTTTCGAGAGTGAACCTACCAGCTGCATTAATGTACGGCAAGCAATTGGCAAATAGACGACAATAAATGTACCTGAAAAAAATGTATAAGAGCAGTTCAATCAAACTTGGGGGTACTTGCCCATATATAAAAATGAATGAAAACAGAGGGCGCTGCCCATATAGAGGGATTTCTCAGAATTCGTTGATTTCCAGTGAGGATATTCAGTTCCACAAACGTTGCTACGTTGCCCTGACCTGATATTTAGGCCGCCTTCTGCTCACTTAGTAGTTCTTTTCAGAGAACTATGACCATCAGCTTATTCCAACAAGGAGAACGCGTGATCAAAGTCAGCCTTTTCTGTCAAAACTTAGAAGGATAAGAAGGGTAAATCTTCGCTGTTGATCAATCCCTTTGTGGGATGCGGCACGCATTCTACTTCCATTCAGAATCGTAGTGGCTTATTGAATGCGATGTGGCCTATACAATGACGGGGGCCAGCCGATGTACAAGTCAGTGTTTTATCCTCCCAGACGAATCTGGTACCAATTTACCGTCCCCGGGGGATAGAATGGCTTGGTTCGGCCTAGGCGGAATCGACCCGGACAGGACGCGACGTGGTGAGCGCGCCACTTGTCACTACACCATCTCTGCCTTGTCAAAACTTAGCATTCAGTTATCGAAAGTGCACGTCATTACTGTAAGCCAGGGATGGAGAAGTGCCTAGGCCTGTGGGGAAGGAATACGTGGGCGGGTTGCAAACCACGTACTCCCCGCAGCTGAACAGTTTTCACCAAGCGTTTGTGTGGGAGAGAATTGTTTTTTTGCATTCTTAAGAGTGCTTTCGGCTAACCCGGTCTTTCTCGTTGGTTACATATCAAGCATAAGTATGTGGGCACCTGCCATGGATTTTAACTTATTTGCGCGCCACGAGGTAGATGAGGAATTCTCAGCGAGGAAGTTTCGAATCTGGGTCGTTGTTTAGGAGAGTACTGGACCATGACACCGAGTTTGCATTTGTTAAATTGAAGGACTTCAGGCAGAATGGATGCAGACAGTCTATCGTTGCTCTCAACGCCATGGAGGAATTATTTGACACTGCTCAGTATCGGTCATATTGTCTTTTTAGATAACTTAGCCTTCCAGTGTCATCCGCAGAGCTGATCAAGAGCTTGTCCGAGTACTATAAAAATAAGGTAACGTGTCTACTACATCGCACGATAAAGCAGACCAAGTTTCACGAGGCCCCACTGTGATCGAGTTTTTCTCATACAATTTGACCCTAGTTCCATATTTCGACGATTGGTATACTCCCAAGTTGGGTCTCAATTGCTCTCAAAGCTGCTCAAGCTGCTCTTCGTGTGTGCGCTCAGTGGGGCATTTTTTTCTTCTTTAGCTGTTTATGTTGGTTTTGCTCTGTAGTCATTTCCACCATTATTTATTATACGATGGGCCCGTGATATTCAATGCTTTTGTTCCTTCAAAAGCTTTGGTATTTCTGAGCCGAACCTGGTGAGGTGAAAGGATGTATAAGTGGACACGGGCGAAATATCTCTTGCCGACTGAATCTGTTAAAGGCAGTTGGCCACGATAAAATCCCCCAAGACGACTAGGATCAATACTCCTGGCAGGATAGAATTCCGCGACCCTGGGCAGGCGCTGCATAGCGGTTTCCCCGAGGAAGGTGCCCTTATAAGGGCCCTATCAAGCCACAACTTTACGTCCCAAACGCCCGCCCGCCCACAAATGGACGACCGTTCCTGACGCTCGTATTCATTCATTTGCTTAGGCAAATTATGAAGCGAAGGGATTGGTATGAAGCGGCCGTGATGCTGCATGCATACATGGGTACACAGCCGTATCTTCGGTAGCGGTGATTGGCAAGATGCATACGGGAAACTACGTCGAAATCGATTCAAGTCACCGAGAAAACGGTGGCTTTTTCTTTGCAGATTTGACATCAGCATCCGTTCTTTCGCCAATTTCCGCCATCTATAGCATTTTAGGGTGAGTACCAGGAAACCATCGTGCCAACTGCCTTTAACACGTTGGCGACATTGCGTCCCACTGCTGGGACGCACCTTTTTTGCCGCGTGGGACATTGCGTCCCACTGCTGGGATGCGGCATGGGTAAAAAACCAATTTGAAGACGTTTCGAATTTTCAACAGCTGCATATTGTCCATGAAGGCATTGTAGAATATACAGTAGCTGTAAACCGTGCAGTTGTGTCATTGAGAGTATTTTACCGAGGAGACAAACGAAAAGGGATTATTGTTTTAGTGATTTAAAAAGATAATTCCTTGGATGATAACAGAAATTGAAGCTTCACATGCATCTAGCTAAGTGATAAGTGTTAAATTTCAACTATAGCAATCGAAAATGAATCGAATCCAATTTACCACCTCTGGGCGCGAAAATATTCCTTTTTTGCGACCTTGTTCCCACGCTCCACGTGAATGAGGCGGGAGTATTCCATGAAATTTCAGGGTTTATCTTGAAAGTAAACAAGAATAGCGAAGCCTTACTAGCTTCTGCAATGAATTCTGACCATTCTTCAATTTTTTGGCGTATAAACGCCCTAGCATTTATGCGCATTCTTCGAAAATAGGGAAAAACTGCTTTGTCCCACGCGGCAGACACGCGAAAAGGCGCCTTGTCGCCAATGTGTTAAGCTGCTAACAGCTTTAGTGAGCTGGAGTCCACGTAAGAAGCGAATGAAATGAAAAGCACAGATCACATCTCTCATGCGGTTCCTTGGAATTATCTATTAAGAATATTTTTTCTGCAAAATATTTTTGTTATGAAGATTTTGGTTTCCACCAGCAACGTGCCCTCGTTGTTGTTTCTGACAGCCTTTGACAGGATGCGCCAATGCATTCACCGTCACGTATACATTGAAATAATTGTTTAAAAACGTGTTATTGAAAAAAGACAGAATTCCCTTGAAATGGATCTCCTCGAATGAGGTGAATGAGTTCGTAACTGCATTAACGTGCCACTTTTTTCCGCTCAAAAGGGCAGGGAACGCGCTAGAGGTCGTGATACCTCGGTGTTGCCTCCATACTCCGCCCGCCCTGACCTCAACGTGCAGCACTTGCGTCGTCGATAGCAAAATCCCGCAGCGAACACGCAGTCAGCGGTAGGAATTACAGGAAGTGAGAGGGAGCAGACAAGTAGCGCCTTTGGTAATGGTTGAGCGTGTGACTGGTTTGGGATAGCGCAGGTGGACAATGTGGACGGCATCCGTGCATTACTTTCAGCCCGTTCCCATGCACTCTTGAGAAGGTGGCACGATACTGCAGCTGCGAACTTATTCACTTCATTTGGACAGGATAGACAGAACTGTAAAGTGTAAAGTTAGACTCAAGTTGAGAGGAGGTCAACCTGTCAGTTTTAGAAGAGTGGGATCCCAGTGTCTACGTCACTTCACCATTACTAGTTCACTCGCTTGCAGTACTCGACTGTTCACTTCGAGAAGGTGATAGAATGTCAGCACTACTGAATCTCTCATTGGAGGGGGGAGGGGTATTAGGGAAAGCCGACGACCACGCACTCCCTAACAGGAAGTGGTTTACAGTTGCCCAAATGATTAGCTCGATAAATAACTTTGATATATATGTTATTGATAAATTGCGGTTTGCGTTTAAACCCTTCTTCGAGACACTATATTTACTGTGGAGACATTTGGTCTTTACTCCTAGTTCTATGAAAAAAATTCAAAAACCGTCGCAAGTTAAGAAAAGTCTTCAGAGTGTTCATCAAAACTCGAGCTGCAACATTTGGATCCGGAGACATGAACCTTTCCACGTTTTTTGGGAACAGGACATGGGGTATAGAAGAGATTTCGGCGTTGACCAGTCCCTCTTGGAGACACACCACAAATCTCTTTCCACTAAGAATCGAGTAACTTCTCGAATGCGATTTGGCCTATATAATGACTTGCGAGCGCTAGCTGATGTTCAGACGAGTGCTTTTATCCCACTAATCGAGTCTGCTACCAGATCGCCGACTCAAGAGGGATTTGAAGATTTTTGAACTTTTGGCCCGCGCAGAC